GACGGGGGGGTGGGGGGGTGGGGAAGGGAAGAGATATGAAGTAATTCTTTTCCCAAATTTTCTTTCTCTTCTGCAAAGCTTATTTTATCCTTCAAAAAATTTTGGGCCTAAATCTTCTACAGTGAAAAAATTTAAGAATAAATAAATACCAAAATACTGAGAAGCAGACTGACTTCTTTAAATTAAATATGTTTTAAAATCATAAAGCTCAGATGTTTAGTCTGTGCATGAGATTTCTTTCAACTTATCTTCACCAAGACACAGTTAGAAAGAACAGGATGTATCTAATATTATAATAAGGCACTACTTCATCTGCGCATGTTTTTAAGAAGATGTTGGAATTTTTCTGGGTGAAATATAAGACAATGCATGAAAATTAAAGTGACAGATTATGAATATTTCAAAGATAATAATTTATATTTTGCTTGCACAGTGACACACCATGCAAATTTTCCCATCTATAATGTTACATTTTAGGGCTGATTATCTTCCACTTTGATGAAAAGCATATTTTGACTGGACAGATACACGTGCAATGGTGTATACCACCGCACCAGCAGAGAGCGTGTACCTTCGAGAAATAAATTATAACTATGTGATACTTACTATTATCTTTATGAAATATGTAAGTGTTTAGATTTTAGACTAATAAGGTCTGATGATCAATATAATCACAGATAGGTATAAAGCCCCTTTTTTTAAGAACCTCAGGAAAGGTTAAGAGAAGCCAAGGTCCATTTTTGGAAGTTCCTTTACTCAGTGTTTGTGAAAATCCAGAAGACGATGCATACACAAAAGAACAACAGATTCTTGCTTGCTTTTACACTTTTACTCTTTTTTGATGTAACTTTTGAAAGACTTATTGTATAGAGTCCCAAAAGATACAGTGCAACCTAACAGCTCCCTGCTGCAAAAGAGAATTTGATGAAATTCTGCTAGACACATGTTAAACCAACTACTGAGGATCAGAACCACACAAAAAGAAAAATCTTCCAGTAGCAATTTTTTTTTCATTTACTCAGCTACTGTACAGCCTATGATGACTTGTTTTCCTTTAGTTATACGAACAGTTTGACAGATTACTGTGACAAGGTTACTCTCAAATTGATAAAAGGTTTGATAGTGTCAGAACATTTGTCAGAAATGTCTCACATCACGTGTAATGGACTCTGCACTTCAAGCATCAATGGTACTCCAGTCTGCTGTTTTCTGTTTAGTGTGCAATGCACACCAACAAAAACACACAGCAGAAAGACAGAAAAGCAGGCAGGATTCATCAAAACAGCCCCGTACTTTATCAAACAATTCTGATGAAAGGGTTTCTCTTCCTTAACCCACCTCACAAAATGCAATTTAATGAAAAACTTTACGCGTGACTTGAAGGGTAGCCTCCTTATGGGACTCTAAACCAGAAAATGGGATGGGATATGATAATGCACATAAACATAAGTGTTCCCAGCATTTTCTGAAAGAGAAATATTGTTGGTTTAGAACATTATTCCACAGCCTGCCAAATGTGAGATATTAGAAGTGATAGTTGTACTGCTAGCAGCCCTGTCCCATGCTAGAGCAGAGGAAATGGGGTCAGAAGGGCTCATTTTAGGCACTGGCAACTAGCCTATGGGAACCAGTGTGCTGGACATAAGCCAGCTTTGGTGAATACTTCCCTTAAATACAGCTCTCCAGAAATATTGTACTTCAAAATAATAATATGTTTTAAGGATTGGAATTAAGGTTTTCACTTCACATCTTGCAGCAAACAATGCTAATATTAGGCTATGCAGGAAGCCTAGGAGCCAGCACCTTCTGCTCATTTGTAAAGATCCATTCACATGAAGACTTTAATGCCTGGTGAAGCCCCAGCCACGTAAGCTACAGGCGAGCTCTACAGCGGACAACATTTCTGAGCAGAAAAATCCTTCTTGTTCAAAAAGCAGCGGACTGTTTGGCTTGGTTTTAGATGGGGTTTTTGAGGAGAAGAGCTGGGTTTGAGGCTTTTTTGGGGAGTGAAGTCAGGGGAAGAGGTAAGGTCTTTGGACCTTTATCTACCTCTACTGTGTAGCCAGCTGCAAAGGTAGAGAAAATACCTTCCAATATATTACTTAAAATCTACACATTGCTGACATGAGCAAGAGTGTCTGAGATTGCTTAAAAAATCACAGACAAGGGTATGAGCAAAATTCAGATTTAAGCATTTCTCAGATCACACTGTGGGCTGGAAAGGAGGCAGGGGGAATGCACCACAGCTGCCAGTACAAATTCTTGTATTTTCAAATGTTTAAGTTTCCCTTCATTGTCTCTCTCTTCTGCTTTGATAAATTCTTTTAATTTTCTAGAAAAAAAGAAATTAGAAGAACTATCTAGTTTCTCCTTACTGACATTCAGCCAAAGGATAGAAAAATCAGTAAAATGAGTGTCAGCATTTCTGTTAAAGAGCATCTGTTCACACAGGAACCCCATGACAGCAAGACAAAGCCCTCTAATCTTATCAGATTAAGTTTAGTGGAGCACATTAAAAATTTTGCCACAGTGCTAAAAGGAAGCTCTCAGATACTTGATGTGCACTTCCCATACGCAGACAAGGGGTACGGACACACTCTCTGAACTTCATGATTCAAGTATCACTGCTCACACCACAGCCTCACACCATGATGCCAGCACTTAAGCACCAAAGCTGTGAGGCTCCTTTAGGAATAGTTAGTTCAGTCCTGATCAGCTGAAAGCATTAATGTGAACTGGAGAAGGGTCAGACTGCAAGAAGATGTATCACAAAACAGCTTTTTGAACATCAGCAGACTACAGTCAATTTACACATACTGAGGATCTGTCCCTTGAACTGGGATTATCTGTGACTGTCACATGTGGAAAGTGTCGATGAATGTAGTTTGTACAAATGTCAGACAGGTACACTCACATTTCAGCTTGCATGAAATATGAAACATCACCAGCACACTATTCTCCTGTGAACAGTGAATCAGTTCAACCCACAGAAGCTTTAGGAGCAGAAAGTCACAGGGAAGAGTTTCAAGTTCACATAATTTTACTCAAGTCTGGATATCACTTCAGTAAGATTGCTAGCTCCAGTCCTGGCCAGTCATAACCACATAACGTGTACTCAGGGAAGCCTTTCAGGATTTTTGATCAAACTCAGGAAAGGCAGAATGCTGTAAAATTGAAAAAAACCCACTAAATTGTTACTCCTATTGCAAGCTTCAAAACAACAGTCATTTGGATTAAGGTCTGTAGATCAGCCCCAAACCAAAATTCACTTATTGATACCTTTTTGAAAGGCTGATTTCTGATCACAAAATACAGAGATGATATTGTCTTTTGGACTGTATGGCAAAAGTACTGCAGCTCTATATCATAACAAGAGAGGATTTTTATATTTCAAATTTCTCCTTGTGCTTATTTCAATGCAAAAAAAACCCCATGTGTTATGCTTAATTCCATCATGGTGATCTCTGGCTGGAATCTCAAACTAGAGTATTCCCTTGCTACATATCATCAATGATAATCAAGACTTTGGAATTTCAATCATTTCATATTGCCCACTACATTTAGTCAAGAGAAGAAGGGTAGAAGAGTGCAATGCTTTATAAAGTAGTACTTTTCACAATGCATGAGGAGCAAGGAGCTCCTTTATGCCACCCCTTTGCTTTCTACACAAATAAAAGACAATAAAACCAATCTTTATCAGTACAGTCTGCAAATATGACTCTCAAGATAAACAGGGAGGTAGAAGGTGCCACCTTCTACAGCATCATTTTTCAGTGGCACTATAGTTAATTAGACGTTAATTATAGGGCTACAAGGCCACCTTCAGCAGGTTTCATACTTCTCAAACTTTGAGCCCAGCAACGTGTGACACAGAAATCATAAAATGTGATAAATGATCAAGGGAGGAACACCCATGTTGTGTTGTGCACTGGATTGTGATTCACAGATCATTATAACTATAAAATCTGTCATTAGGGAGGTTTTCCTGCCATGCAAATTCTCCTTTTAACATAAGAAATCAGCCACATTAGAACAAACAGAAGTCAATGTGAAGTCGCTCACCTCTTTTCCCCTAAACTCATTACCTGAAGGTTTTTAGCAGACATTAATTAATCATTCAAACTAAAGGAAAAACAGTCAACCTTCAAGTGCAGGAGGCTTCTGATGCCTTTTAGTGGCCACACAAGTGTAAGCAGGAAGGCCAGCTCTGACATCTTGCTCCAGAAAGACACTGAGTATTTTAAGGGCACTTACGGCTGGCACAGCTTGATAAGGTCCTGGTCGGTGGTGCCGGGTGGAAGGCCGCGAATGTACAGGTTGGTTTTACTCAACTGCTCTCCGCTGCTGTTGTTGCTGCTGTTGTTGCTGCTGTTTGTGCTGGGGCTGGGAGGAGCCATGGGGTGGGGAGCTGGTGCATAGGACTGCTGGAAACAGAGCAAAACAAAAAGGCTGTTACTGGAAAAGGCCAAATAGCATGGCAGAAGTGTGTGCTTTACCTAGGTAAATCCCAGAACTATGCTACGCTTGTCCTGCCCTCCCTGACCACTTCCAGCTGTCCACTGCTATGGCACCTGTACCCACTCCCAGCCAGCAATGCCTTTCAAAATGCAAAACAGGACCAACCAACATTTTGTGTTCAGCCATAGCTATGAAATGCATTAATCTACTGTAGTTTTTAATTTGGAATTAAAGTAGCTAGATCACAAAACAAAACTCTGAAATGACAGATACTCAAGGAGTAACTAGCATTAAAGATAGAAATTAAACACAATCTGCTCTAAGAGTACGCTAAAACACAAATAAGAATATCTAGCCAAAGGTACAGAAGCTGGTGCCAGAAGCCAAGTTAGTCTTTTCTAAACATGAGGAGCACCCAGTACACACACAGTCAGGTGGCAGAGAGTTGGCTAGTCTGAGAGAAGAAAAATCTTCCAAAGCAGCCTGAAAAACACTCTGTTGTTACGGATGTCTTTCGCAACAGAGAAACAGGGTTTGGAAAAGACGATCAGGCCAAGACCTTCTGCTCTCAAAATCATACCCACTTCTGAACAACCACAAACCACACACAGCAACTGAGAAATATTGCTTAAGAAGTGAGGCATTCTTACAGGGAAAAACAGTATTCTCCCGTAACTCACTGGTAACTACATGCTGTGAAAAAAGACACGCACACGCTAGAAAAATTACTTAAACATCTCTGATCAGAGGCAACAACGGGGAATTTCAATTGCTGCAACCATCCCTGGCTCTCTGACCACTGGAGTACTTACTCACAGCACAGGGTGCCTGCCAGGAGAACAAAGGAGTGATTGGAAGGAGGAGGCCATCCTCCTGTGACCTATGCAGAAAAGCTGAAATCTAGGTAAGAACTTGCAGGAACTGAAGGATCCTGAGGACCAAGCTCCAGATGAGTAGCCAGGGGAACTGAAGTCAGAGGTCCAGCAATGTAACTGCCTGCTGAGAGGGAGAAAATCCCATTTCCACAACCCAATCAGCACATTCTGCTAGCTTTATGTGTAGTGACAGCAGCAGGTAAATGCTGGACCAATGCTAAGTTAAGCATGCTATGCTAATGGACTAATAAAAGCAAAACATCTGCAATTTTCATTACAGCAGCAATGACACTTAAGTGACTTCCTAATATGTCTGTTCTGCATTTAGGCCTTGAACAGAGAAAATATTTAAGTCTGTGGGAAATTCTGATCACGCTAATCAACTGCCCCTTTAATGTCAGTGCCTCTACTTTAGTGCTTATAATTATGCACACACTAAATCACAGTCTTGGTAGATGGATTAGTAGCTCTAAACTATTTCAAACAAGTCCCTTTATTTAGTTCCTTATTTAGAGGAAAGGAAAAAAAATAAAAAGTTGGAGAATACAAGGGGAGCATCAATGACATCTGATGATCAGACATTTCAACAAAATGAAACAACACACTTGCACCAATGCCTTTCCTCCTGGCCTCCTCCTTCCTTCTTCCCAGTTTCTCCCATTTAAACCAGGAGAGAGGGAACAATGTGCCAAGTGTCAAGACATCAGAATTCCTCTGCAATCTCACCTGGTTGTAATGTGACTCAAGCAGGAGCCTTGATTTTTTTAAAAGAAAAAATACCGTTTTTTACTGTGATCACCATGCTATCATGTAATGACATTAACTCTCCAGTAAAAGAGAAAGGGCAATGAGCTCCCTTCCCCAAGTCTCTGCACAGATACTTTTGCTGACAATCAAAAGCACTTAGTGCATACGGATCATATTTCTCTGCACACACATTTTATCACTGGGTAATCCCCACCCACTCGAGCTTCAATGTCATTCCCAGAAATAGAGAGCTGAAGAAGCAGCCCTGAGTACCAGCACAGGCAACCACCTCAACTGAGCCCCAACACTGGGGACACATCATGGAAATCAGCTCCATGCCATGGCCACGGCCCAGCTGGTAACACTGCAGGCAGCACCAACCTGCATTAAATACATAGGCATCTACACATTATAATATCCTTTCTGAAAGCATATTTAAATATATGTGCACTACAGGGCCATGGAAGAAGCAGGTATGACTGTATATAACACCTTGGGCTTTAATATATCAAGAGATCAGGAAATATCCCATGGTAATCTTGCACATTTTGAGCATTGCTAAGGTAAATTAAAAAGAGAAACAGAGGTTGAGGTTACATTCTTACTGCTTTACCCTACACCTCCGAGATTACCAGGCACACTGAATGCAAGTAAATAACGTAAAGCAGTAGAAGATCTTTCCATAAGCCAATGAAGTGCTATGTACTTTAATTATTAATTATTATTATATGTGTCTTAGCAGGGGATAATGAGTAAATGTCCTATTCTCACACCTAATAAGCAAGAAAAAGAAAGAAAAAAATTGGAAATTTACCTTTGAAATACAAAGAGCAATTTTCATTCTATTATAAGATCTTTATCCTCACACAGAGGAAAACACTGGGGGCCTAATTCTAATTTAAGCTTAAGACATTTTATCCCTCTCAGCCGGCTGAAAAGGTGTGTAGAAGTGAACACAAATTACATTTACACCAATTTTGAGGCCACAGCTATCAAAAAAAAAGAAAAAAAGGCCTCAGTTTACAGAGAATGAGGCCATACGACAGGCTGTCCCTCAAGGAAGAGCTGCTCAGACAACAGGCACACATGGATGCCTGGGTTCACAGCAGTATCCTCAGAGATGTTCTAAGGGTGGGCAGAGATGCAGCCACACTCCACTTTGGGGGATGCTGATCTTCTCAGCCCAACAAACACTGCTACACTCCAAACCCTCTTCACTAATAAATCTTAGCCACAGCAGCCCACAGTAATTTCCATGCATATCCAATACCCCAGAATACCATCTGCAGAAAGATTACAAAATTGCCTGTACTGAGGCTGATGACATCTTCTGGCTGGTTGCCAGACTAAAAGCTTCAGGTCAGAAGAAAGCTTCCAATTCTTGTTTCCTGAGCTGCTGAGTGTATGACTGATGGCAGAAGTATGTGCTTTGCCTCTAAATGAACAAAGGATCCAGTTTGGTAATCTCCAAGTAATAACTGGAATGAAAGAAATGACTGGCAACCTAATGATGATCCCAGATATAGACCACTTGGTACGGGGCACTGTCTGGGGAGCCACCTGCACAACTGGTGGTAGGAAATGTGTGCCTTGTTCTGATGTTGGACACCTCCATGGCTGAGGGCAACGCACTTAACTTCTCTGCCTCAAGAGCCAGAAGGAGCAGCACTGTCAAGACTGGTTCAAAACACCCTGACACCAGCTGTAGAAACCTGGAAAAGAAGTTTTGCCACCACAACCAAGCAAAGGACCTGCAGCTTTAGGGAAAAAAAAAAAAAGAAGAGAGGCAAAATCTAAATGTTTCACTTCAAAAGAGAGCTGGAATTCAGAGCTGGTTTTGCCATTAATTTTTCACATAACCACTATAACCAACTAATTTTTCAATTCTCATGCTTCATTATTCAGTGGAAAGTGCGTGGGGAATGAACTGGTTTGTAGATCATTCCAAGCAGCTTATTAATTTAGCATGGATGGCTAATAGGATTTGTTTTCATCTTTGAAAAATGAATGAAATTTCTCCTTTTTCATTATTTAAAAGTGAAAAAATTAATGTGCTAATTCTTATCCATTCTTAGGAATGCACCCTTCTGCTTAAACCCTACAGTTCAATTCTCTGAAACAAAGTGTTCTGTGAAACTGCACACAGCTAAGCATAAATAATGAGATACACCTTGGTCTTTCTAAGTAAATAACCCAGCAATGCTGAACCAGAAGCCTCTTGGATACTAAATGAACAACGCCCCTCCTTCCAACATCCAACCTCCTTACACTAGAACAGTATTTATTTTTCTATGGCAACCAAGTAGTCTCAGGTAGTTTTTCCACTAGTTGCAAGCTTAGACTAAAGTATTTTCCTTCCAAAGCAAAACACTACTTAAAAAGACGAATTTCAAATATTTTTCACATACAATTCTTTTTGGATGGGAATCATAGACCCCAGATGCCAAGTTGTAGAGTCTGCTTTATTAGCAGCAGCTGGCTCCTTGGCAGGCTTCTGAGGCGGTCGGGCTTGTGGTTTTGGAGTGGCCTCATAGCCTAGGATGCAGCTGGACTGCTATGCTAATGGACTAGCCAATTTGTTTGTAGTCACCTTTGGCTATCCCAGATTTGTACTCTTTTATCCACTTGAAAGGGAGGTCTTGGAAAGATTCCCTATTAACACCGATATGTTGACTTTTCCTATCATAGTTCATATTTTATACGAGAAAATAAGTGCAACACACAGTCCTATATTAAAACATGTGTTATTTGAGCAATTGTACACACACTATCCATTTCGCTCTGAATGAAGTGTTTTCCAGCTGCTAGATTCATCTAAGTGCCCAATTACAACACAATTCCCTTCACTCCCAATTGAGAAAAATAAAATAAGACAAAGTAAATACAAATAAATTGTGCAAATACCACTTAACAGCTCACATTAGGAAAACACTGTTCTCTCTATACCCTACTGTACGAAGGAGTAATTTTTGTGAGCTGGAGAGTTCTTACTAGCCAATTATAGAGAGGATGAGAGGATGCCACCAACTTTTAGTCTGTTGATGGGATTTTGGAGCTGAGTGAACAGAAAATCTCCTATTAAGCAAAAGACAATCATCACAGTTGAAGAGAATGCAGAGCAGTAAGGGAAATATTGGGAAAAAAAATAGATCAAAGTAACAGCAACCCTCCTGCCTTTGGTTTGTTTCCTCAGTGAGGATCAGCACCAGGAGGTAAGTTGTATTTCTCATTCATAGAGAGGTGGAACAGACAAGTGAATAAAAAATGAACATTGAAGTGAGCAACACAGACACCTCATGTATTTTAGAAAGGCTTCAGTCAAGGGAACTCAAGTTATAATTTTC